TTTCCTCCCTTTTCCCCTCCCTTGACAGCAAACCAAAGATAACCTCTAATAAACTCCAGTCATTTCATTTTTCTGCTCTTTTTTCTTTTCTCTCTGTCACTATCTTTTCTCCCACTCCCTCAGCAAGCGGAGGATTATTCCTTGTAGATTAACAGCCTGAGTTTGTCTTCCTACTCTCGACCCTTTTCCTCTTTTTGCTTTTCCTCTCTCTTCTCTCTTTTATAGCCATTAATCTCGCTTATATCTCTCCTTCTCTTATTCAGCTCTGTCCTTTTCTGTGTCTCTCCCTGCCATCGGGGGACCGGCAGATTACTACCAGTGAACTACAGTAGCGGTGTGATTAGCAGCCCTAGTTAAGATGACAGAGCAATCATCTGAACCTATATGGCTGCAGAGAAAACCACCGCTCTTGGTATTATACAAGCGGCTTTGATCATAGGGATGAGTGCCATCATCTGCTGATCCAGTGTGTGTGTGTGTGTGTGTGTGTGTGTGTGTGTGGGTCTCTGTCTGTGCTCTGTGCTTGCACACTATGTGCACAGACATAGCTCTAAAACCTACTCACAAGTATCCTAATAACACTGTCAAAACAAGCATCTGTTTTCTAACTTTCACAAGAATACTCTTTTCATTTATCTATCACCACTTCACTTTAGCTCCTGTTTTTATTTCTTCTGTTGTTTCTGAGTGCCAATGCCACCCAAGTGCCAACCAAAGCAGCCTTAATCAATTCACTGTCGTCAGTGGCAATGATGCCTTTCAACTCACTCCCTTTTAAATGAGATTTGCAATAGAAAAGAGCCACCGGCCTGCTGTATTCAGCAGCAGGAGGCTCCTTCAGTTCTCTCAAGTTGCCTCTCTGTGATGTCCATGCATGTGCGCATGCATGCCTGATTGCCTGCATGTGTGTGTGTGTTTGTTGTACACTATCTCCAGTGTTAGATGCAGCAGATGCTTCAGCAGAGAGGAGCTACACATCAGCCTTGATATTCTACCATTAGCATATCAACATCCCTTCTTTTTCTCCCTCCCTCCCTCCTTTACTCACGCTGTCAGAGATTGATGATCAGCAATTACACAGCATGTGTCACTGCAACTAAACATCATTTAATAGCTTCAAGCTGACAGTACATGACTGAGCAAGCAGAGAAGGCACCAGTGTCACAATAAAAGTGCCATGTTTTCTATCCTGGAACATTGTTGCTTGGGTGCAAATTTGTCATGTGGGAAAAAAAAGGCCAGCCCATAAAATAAATGATCATAGTAAATATTCCACAGTATACCTATGTTACAGTATGTGCCTGTCAAATAAATGTTGTTTGATAACATGAGCAATTTGAAATACTTAAGGTTGGGTGACCATAGAGATTAATAAAGTCACTATTGAGTACCACATCCCTGCAGCATTATCACAGGAATATTCTAGTATTATCATCAGTATATTCTAGGTTGTTAAACTATAGGGTAAAGTACTACTGCAATACTGCAAAGTCAGTATTGGGCACCACAGCACACAATTACGGGCAGATAAAAATATTGCAACTATATAATCATTGTTTGTGGACAACAGTCTATGAACCATGAAATCACTTTTACTGCTATTTCATGTTAAAACCGGACAATTACTCAAGATGTATCGTTAGTCCACAGCCGAACATTACTCCCCTTCAAAATATGTTTTATGTAACTTACGTCTGTTGTTGGTTGAACTCAAACGATAAGTTTAGACTAAACTTATCTCCTATAGTATCACTATAATAAATATGAAATCCCCAGAGAAATGATCTGAGTGACACTTTCTGACAGCAGTTGGCCAGGTCAACAATTAAAGTGTAACCGACTGTTACAGTAATTAGCGTCATGCAGTTATACTTACGAAATGCGACTCCTCTGAGGCTCTATCGAACTAAATCCTTTAATTTTGTTTTCGGGAGACACCTGAAGATAAAGTGAGCTCGCAAACACACACAGACACACGCACACACACGCCCCTCACACACACATAAAAACACACTCACACCTGTAAGGTGCTCTGAGCGGCAGAGTAGTCCCCCGTCTGTACTCCGCGCCGTACTGAAGCGCGAGCTTCTTCAACTATCACCTGCCATGTGATAGGCACGATGCCTTCACGAGCCCCTCGTAATATCTCCCGCGCTGAAGTGCCTGTCATTAGATCAGTATTGGAACACTTGTTAAAATTGTTTGATGGTGCGCAATAAATATATCTGTGAACGTGTGCCATGTAAGTAGGCTACTTTCTTGACTGTTACTTTAATGTAAATAAAAACAATAACGAGAAGTTAAAAGCATCACTTCTAAGTTTTAAAACTCAGGATATTACTAGGTTCAAACAACAAGTAAAGGAAAACTGTGTTCATATTAAACAATATAGTGCATAATATATTTATTTTATGATTCTGTTGCTTGTGTATTAAGTAGGCTATGTAGACAACCTCTTTCTAATCTGTTATGTTTTAGGGAGTTTTTCTCTTATGTGTTCTGTGTGGACCCCAGGAGGAGTAGCTGATGGTTTTTGCATCAGGCTAATGGGGATCCTAATATATTAAATCAAATGAATTACTTGCAATAAGTGCCTATTATCCAGTAGCTACTGGTCCAGCAGACAGCAATGTCAACCATTTACACACAATGGCAATCAATATTCAAATGCCACACTAAATTATAAATTACACACGTGCTATTGATATTTCAAACTATTGTTATTCTCAATATGCTACTGATATTGTGACTAAGTCTTAAACATCGCACGTTGGCAACACATTCCTCATAGACCGGCCTAATTAACTAATTAAAATATATCCGACAGTACTTGAAGGCAGCAAAATGTAGGCGGTAATACTATCATTTGCTGGATAATTTGTATTTAGAGACATTAAACTCCATAAAAAAGTTATTTAGTTGACCTATCTTATTTTCACTGCACCTCAGCAAGAAGAGATGAAGTGATCCTTTAAGAACCTACCACATATGTGGCGCAGAAAATCACCATGGGCCTGTACTTTCTCATTCTCTGTTGTTTCCATATGACACAACACTTCCATCTAGTGGTCATTGTCATCATCGCGTGTCAGAGTTCTCAAGAAGAAGAAAGAGGTCTGATTGAAATCAGTAAAAAACAAAACAACCAATAATAACAATGAAATTAAGAAAGTGGTAATGAGACACAAATAAAAGGAAAAGCACAATGCACTGACCCAAAGGAATACAATGTTATCAAAGGTTTCTGTTTACTTTTCTAGTAGCACTTCTGGTAAAACAGGAAGGAACAGTACATGGTGCAACATGTTAACGTAGCCTGGGATTCAATGCAACATGGGAACAATTTTGTCAGAAGGACAAAAGAATCACTGAGATAATGACCCTTAAATATTTTAATTAGAATATGAAAACAACAGCACAAAACTGCCACACTCCCATTGTGTGGAATCCAACTGTGCATTTAACAATTACTGGCTGCATCATTCTGTCACTCCCCACTGCGAACTGTCCATGGAAGACAAAATGCCTCAACATTTTGGAATTCATCCCTGAAAATGATTTATAATCACAATGGCAACAAACACACATAAAAACATGTCTGAAATATAAATTGCAAATCCATCCACAATAATAATTACTTTATGTGACATAACTTAAATGCAAATTTATTCCAAGATGGAACAAATTTTTTTACAAGAAGGAAGAGGCAGGATATGCTAACAGCCACTAAAATAAGAATACTACAAGGGAAGACTAAAAATATTACAGTTGAGATAGTGTAAGTAACTGACAATTATGCCAGTAATGTAATTGATAACCCGGTTGGTTATTCTCACCTGCACCTCATCTTTTCTAATGCGGTTGGGTAGGTCTAGTGAATTCCTGACCCACATGAAATTACATGGGAAGCAAAGAAGTCTGTGGAAAAAACATTAGTATGTAGTAACCTTTAATTTTCTTACATCTGCATCCTTCCTTTAAGTGCTTTCTTTTTGTATTTGCTTTGATGGAACAAATGCATGCATATTATTATACCACTAAAGCATCAACACAAATGATAAAGGCCTCAAGGCAGGTTCTGCATTATTAACTTGTCTTCTGTGTCTTCTAGAGGGGAATTGTAGCAACATTTACACGGTGCATTTTTGGTGCCTAAATTAATGTGTTTAACTTAATTACCACAAACAACAATGGAGGGCCAACACAAAAAAATTGTCACGGGGGCCCCCTAGTGGGTAAATGCGACCATGAATGTCTAAATAGTGTTTGTGTGTTCCACTTTCCACTTCTACTGTATTTCTCAGTTTTCACGTGAATGAAAAACAAACAACATAAAAGACAAAGAAAATCACATATGTGCACATTTGACCTTTTAAATTAGAGTATGTACTGTGTGTTTGCATGTTTGGACAGTGGAAGAGGTATAAATATGACAAGCAGGAGGCGCCAAAGTGCACAGTGCAGGCAACTATGCAACTTGACCCAAGCAATGGAGGAGGATGTCTCCATTAAAAAAACATTACACTACACTACTATCAAGATGAATCAGTTTTAGAATGATTCTCACCTTTGACTGGTGACAAACCCGACTAAAGACGCGGAGAAACACAATAAATTCATTTTTCCTCAAAAGGTTACACTGATTAACAGTAGCCGACTTTTACAAAACACTTAAAGTAAAAATAATTAAATAAATATATATCGTATTTTATATCGCACGTTGCCCACATTCAAGATAAGTCATCGAAGAGACCCATAAATACATTTAAAGTATAAAAATTCAGTTGATGGCAATTAGGCAGCGGGCCAGCTCGTGGTGTACGCCCACCGTGGTCTTGACTCGTGATGCAGTGTTCTCCTTCCACACTGTCACACACAAGTGGCCTCTGCATTCCGTTCGTCTCTGGCTGTCATTGGTCAACCAGCACGTCCGTCGTATTTTCCCCAGCCTGAACTTGTGTGTGATTGGCTAGAAGGGCACCTACGGCGGTAGCGCAGACGCTATTGGTTGAAAAACTAGGTTAGTGGTCCGACAGGCATGACGGTGAAGAGAAACTGGGTCACCGATCGAAAATCGTTTATGTCACAGTTCTGTGGGTTGCTATTACATATTACCAGCGGCTTTCAATGGCTAGACTAATCTCACCGGACCGACTGTAAGTATACAATGAAAACAAGCATACGGGTTATCGATATTGCATCTCGGTGGCGTTGCTGGGCTTTAATCCATGATGGATATCGTCGATGTTTTCCCAGCGCTGTGGTCATGTCAGTGTGGTTTTCTAGAGCAGGAGGAGGGACGTTAGCTCGCTGGCCAAGTCTTGACAGTTAGCGTTCCTTAGCTAGCAGCTGTATGCTAATATTAGTCAACGGGACTAAATGCTGTTTTGGATAAAAGGTGGGGAAACCGCCCCCAGTATGCCAGGCTAGCTTAAACTGTTGTGAGCAATCACCGGGGCTCTAAGGAAGCTCGTGCATAGGTAAGTGCCGGCCCGTAGGCTTGTTAAATGTTAACTAAACGTGACCTAAGTGCGAGCGGCTAAGTGAACAATGCTATCCAATGCTAGCACGCTAGCTGTGTAAACAGGCCTTGGAGGGTATCTGGCACCTGGTTCCTTCGATAGCGTCGACCCTGCTGCGAGAACTTCAAAGCCCTCATCATCACAGCTTTACAAGTAACACAGTAACGTGTGGTCGCAACCCATACCGAGACCATAGTTGTTTCGATAGTAGGCTCATGTTTGGTTATGAAATATCGTGACACAGTGTTGGCAGTGGAAATGTGGCGAGCGCTCGGTTTCTGCAGTCTCTGCAGTGGTTGATTGATGATGATGATGATGATGATGATATTGGGCTTTGGTGACACTCGCAGTGCCTTTTGTTGTATGATGTGCAGCAGGGGGATACCAAACAACGGGAGTTCATGAGGAGAGTTCCTGGAGGTCCCCAACAGGATAAGGAATAGTTACTTTTCATTGTTATATCATTTTCTGACTCATACTCACCAGCATTGATCCACACAGATTGGTTTTTGTTCCATTTTGGGATGTTTTATTCAAACATTCTGGTAGTTGTTGACTATCATCCCACGGAGATTTGAGTTTCCTTTTACATTAGCAGGATTGTTGAATGTGCAACTTGTGCTTTCTGATTTCTGTACAAAGGTTTTTTTCACAAGTCTACCTCAACATTGCTGTTATCAGAAGTTTATGCATTAATCTTTTCATGACGGGAAAGACGTCCGCTGTGAACTTCAGACTTGGACTGACAAGAGTTGTTATTTTTGCTCATAGACTGGTAGCAACCTGCACTAGTGCTTATCACCGCTGACTGATGTTGTCACGAATGTGTTTTGATAACAGGAGTTTGTGGTGATGATTCAGCAAATGTCAATGGGAAAACAAGTTTTAAAGGTTAATGAAATGTGAACAATTAAGAGAAGGCTGTTGACTTGTGAATTTCAATTACTTTTAAGAACTTCTTCTGTACTTGTGGTCAGCCTGCCTGCCTCACCATGACTTATGTATAGTATATGAGTTTTCCCAATTTGGAAACTCTGAGTCATGCTGAAAAGCATGACAAGCACACGTTTTTGTCAGTAGCAGTAGGTTGTATTCTTCTATCGTGAGATCTGGTGATGATGAGGCTACAGTCGGATGCTGGGCTACCCAAGAGCTGGATGATTTTTGTTATCGTAATGTGATGAACCTTTTCTGGTCTCATAATGGCTACATTACTGATTATTAGACTCTTCTTGCTGAGTGAAATGAGTGTCTCTTCCTGTCCTAGCCACCTCTTATTACTAACGATTGCTTCTCAAAGATTCTATGTATCAAGCCAAATTTTGTATACTGAGGAATTTAGGCTATTTAAAATATTGTGATATCTGGTGCAGCTTGTATCACTCAGCTCGGTGACTGCCACTGGGGATGCAAATGTTGAGCAGTTTTCTTAGTGAGCCATGATATTAATCAGTGGTTATTATTCATTATTATCAAAAATATAAAATCCATGTTTATTTTTAGATGAAAGTTTTATTGAAATGGTAGGAAAAAGACATGTAAATTAGGTACGGGAGTCATATATTTATAAAATGGCAAGACCTGCACATCCACACAGGTGTTTTCAATCATTTAGGCTGATTGGGCCTCAACATGCACATTTTGATGTTGGAAAAGCTGATGTAACCAAAGTCACTGTCCCGATCACTTTACTGTACTGTACTGCCACCAGAACAGATTTCGCAAGGCAAAAATTCACTTGGGTAGGGAGGACAAGAAATGGCATCGACAGGGTTATAATCATAAACTGTGTGAGCTGGCGTGGCTAGCTGGCTAACAACTGCTAAAAACAATATTTTATATTTTGGGAAATACCTTTGCTGAGAGAACGCTTTTGGCATATTTAGCTTGCCGTGAAGTTAGATGTGATAATGAGCTAACTTCCTGAAGGTTGATGGTCAAGCAACTGGTCTTGGTAGAGAAATAGTTTAGCATGTAAACCCCCTGAGAAACGGAAAATTAAGTCTTTACACTAAGGTTTGAATTGTGCGGATTAAAAAAACGTGAGAAAGGACAAAAGCAGCAGGCGTGGTGAGCTTGTTAGATGAGGAGCTGCAGGCGATAGGTGCTTTCTTCACTTTGGATGAACTCAAACGTGAAACACATCATCAACGTAAACAACACCTTCAGCTGTGCCATTCCTGGCATATGGAAAACCACTGGCTCCGGTCCCGCATCAGCAGGTCTGACCACAGTTGCTCTGGCACAGTTATCCAGAGTGTTTGGAAATTTAGCAGAAATCCAACTGCTGAAATCACCAACATGGATTTGACTGATAATCTCAAGCTAACTATGCCAATTGTCGTGTGACATATTCTTACTTGCTCAAATTCTTAATGGTCCATAAGAGATCATCAGTTATTTAAAAAAAAATATTTGTCCCTAATAGAGCTGCAATAATTCATTGATTAGTTGGCAACTATTTTGATAATTGATTAATTGGTTTGAGTAATTATTTGAAAAACAAAAGTCAAAGTCCTCTAATTCCAGTTTCTTAAAGAGGTGGTATTATGCTTTTTGGCTTTTCCCCTCTCCTTTATTGAGTTATATCTCTTTTTTTGTGCATGTAACAGGTTTGCAAATTGAAAAAGCCCAAAGGGAGTTCCCATCTCCGACAAACTCTGCTCTGAACTGCCTGAAAACCGCTCGTTTGTAGTCCAACCGTTTCTTTCTGTTCTCTGTGACGTCACAGCAAAATGCGTGTGTTAATTGGCTAGTAGTCCTTAACTAGGTACTGCGCATGTGCAACTCCTAACAAAAATGTTGGAGAAGTGAGATCACTCCATAGCTAAAATTTAGCGGTCAACACAGGGTGAAAAGAGGAGCTGCAGCAATGTGCAGTATGACAAAAATATTGTGTGTTTTTTTTAAAAAATGAAATCACGTAAACCTGTTCTGGTACAACCCCTAAATAAAATGATGAACCTGAAAATGAGCATAATATGACCACTTTTAATGATTTTCTGTTTTCTTTACTCTTTTATGACAGTAAACTGAATATTTTTGGGTTGTGGCAAAACAAAACATTTGAGGAGGTCATCTTGGGCTTTGGGAAATACTGATTTTCATTTTCACCATTTTCTCACATTTTGTAGACCAAACAGCTAATTTATTGATAGTGAAATAATCAACAGATTAATTGACAATGAAAATAATTGTTAGTTGCAGCCCTAGACCCTAAAAATAAAAACAATTTGTTATTTAATATGGGGATTATTTTAACAGTCTGTAAAGATGAATCCACTTTCAAAGAAGCCTCACAGTATCAAACCAGAAGATAATCTAAACCAGAATCATCTCTGCTGCACTTGTACAGCGTTATTTGCCTTGCCTTGTTCCCCTGTAGTCTACAACAACTGTATTCACAAACCCGACATTAGAAAAGTAATGTATCTAGAGGTTCATCCAGGAAATCAGTTTTAAATGCCCTCCTGGAGGAGTGCACGGCATTGGCAGTAATGAATAAACAAGGAGCCCTGCCAAGTCAAACACGGCAGGATATTGTCATGATTTCTAATACCTGATAAGAGGTGGCTAAAGCCACTATTATTGGCCACATGCTTTGGCTGGACAGATCAAACGCACACTGAGGCCCCATAAATGAATCAGAGATCTGTTGCTTTGGGAAAACTATTAGGTTAAACTCTTTGGCACTTCATGTATTTAATAAAAATGGCGTGACCCCTTGTGTTGGCTTTCTTTCCTTGTTGCAGCAAACAAAGGTAGAAATGGTGAAAATGCAGTGTAGTCGCAATGGTATAACGCAATGTTCAGTGTTTCCCCTAGGATGGAGTTGTAGCAGAGGAGGTGAAGGAAAAATTCTTTTGTGCGTGTAATGCGTAGTATGTCTGAATATAAAACCCCAACACAACATGTCTCAGCAGCATTGCTCTTGTGTCCATGAGCATGAGATGCATGTTAGAAGAGCCAACGCATTCTCATCTCAATGCGTCATAACTGACTTTATGCTAAAAGTAGGGCTTGAAAATAAAACAATAACAATAATTATCGCAATATATTGTTTTTCAATAACAATATAATAAATGTTAAATAAATATTCAATAAATGTTGTTATTATTTAAAGATGTTTCTTTTGTTGAGGAAAAAGGACTGAGGAAAGCTTTTACTTCATTTTTGTCATTCATATTTGTTGACAAAGATTTTTATAATTGTTTTTAATGTTCAACCTCAGATTTGTGAAGTGATCCACTGTTTGGCATCAATTGTTGATTGAGTCTTTAAACTCAAAAGAAATAATGGTTTGATATTTATCGTGATAATTATCGATATCGAAAGATATGAAACTTTTTATCGTGATAACATTTTTGGCCATATCGTCCAGCCCTACGCTAAAGGTACCCTTCAGCGTCTGTATGAAACGCCCCCCCGTTTGCTACATTGCAGCAACACAAGGGAGGCCAACCCTACCTGTTAGCAAATCGGCCGTAAGGCTGTATGTATACAGTCGATATGTATAAAGTCAGTGACTTAGGTTTAGGTACTAACATTTCTGATGGTAAGCGTTCGGGCTTCAGGGGGCTGTCAACACCTTTAACATGAACGTAGCTAACTAGCACTTCTGGTTTCTACGGGAT